GTCACTTCTCAAGGGGGAAGAGCAGATGACCTTGGTCATCAGAGGATTGGCAAGCAGAGTCACAAAGCAGAAGTCACTAGTTCATTTTAGCAGCTCTTCTGTCTCAGGGCAGAGGCTGGTGTACTGTCTCCTTATACTTATGTCACCCCATAGTCCCTAAGGAAGCTTGGTAATCATAAATAAGGTTAAAGTTTGTGTTTTCCTTTCTCCTTCAGTTTTTCTTAGGCAGTTTACTTATTTATTTTATGTTTTAGTGTATTTAAGCTTTATTAGTAAGTGTCAGTGCTTGCATTCAAACTCAGTTAGGTCTGATGACAGACCTAATGTAATTTATCCACATTTATATACCTCCTTGTATAAACAGCTTAGAATGGTACTTTCAAAATTTTTTAGTTAAAATACAAATATATATCATTTGTTTTCTCCTACTCATCCCTCCCCTGCTCCCACCCCAGCTCCCTTTAGATGATATAAAATATTGAATCCCTGTGTCATTCAACCGTCGATAGTGTTATTCATCATTCCCTCTTCCTCTCCTTCTGTATTTTCCTCTTTCTTCCTTCTCCACTTAAAAGTCCCTCCCATTTTCCCCATTTCTCCTTCTTATTACCTGTGTCCTGCTATTTCCCTCTTAGATGCCCCCCCTTGTCGTATCCCCATTTTGCTTTCCTCCTTTCTGTGATCATTCTCTATTGTATACACACATAGGATGATTGAGGCTAGGAACCAAAGGAATTAAATATCATGGGGTATCTGTCTTGGTGGGTCTGGGTTATCTCACTCAATATAATATTTTCTAGTTCTGCTCAATTACTGCATGGTTTCAATTTAAGTTTCTGCTCAATGGTATTCCATTGTATACCCATACTGCATTTTCATTATCTATTTACTATCTATTTATAGAAGGATATTTAGGTTGTTTTATTACCTAGTAATTGTGAACAGATTATCAATGAACATATCTGCGCAAGCATCTGTGGAGTAGGATGGTGTCTTTTTTGAAGAATTGCCAAGAAGTGGTAAATTTGGGTTATATGTTAGATGTGTGTTTGGTTTATTGAAGAACTAATCACAATGATTTTCAGATTGCACCAGTTTCCAATCACACAGTAGATTATGATTCTATTTTCCTACGTCCTCACTAGCATTTATTGCTACTGGTTGTCTTGATTTTAGCCATTCTGAAATTGGTAATATGATATCTCAAAGTTGTCCTAATTATTATTTACCTAATTTCCATGGGTAACAAACATTCAGTAGATATTTTTAGACTTTTAATTTCTTCTTTTGAGAATTTCTTCAACTTTATTACCCACCTTCCTTGAGACAGAGTGTCTCTTCATAGCCCTGGTTGTCCTAGAACTCATTATTTCGAACAGGCTGTTTTTCAAATTGCATAAATCCACCTTCCTCTACCTCTGGAGTACTGGTATTAAAGGTGTGAAACACTATGCCCGTCTCTCATATCTCATTTTTAAATTCAGTCATTTGTTTTCTTAAGTCTTTGATTTCGGGTACCTAATAGATTCTGATATGAAACCCTTATCAGATGTACAGGTGGCAAAGATTTCCACTTTGTAAAGTTTGCCTTCAACTCAAATAACTGCCTCCTCTGCTGTACAAAGCTTTTAAATTTTGTGAGGCAATATTTGTCAATTATTAACCTTAATTTCCAGACATAAGGAGTCC